TTATGATTAGCATGTATAGTGTGGGGGGGCACAGGGAGGGCTGTGCAACACAGAGAAGACAAGTTGTGATTTTACAGCATCTTACTACGCTGATGGACAGTGACTGTGACGGGGTATGTTGGGGGGACTTGGTGAAGGGGGGAGCCTAGTAAACATAATGTCTTTCATGTAATTGTAGATTAATGATACCAAAATTTTTAAAAAAACAATATTTTAGAAACATACTTTGTAAAGTGTATCTTGAGCAGGACAGCTGGCAGATTTCCCACATCTGCATCTTCGAGTGAGCAAGCCCCCTTCTACCAAGGTAACTACACCACTAACTCCAACCCACTCCCCTGACCCTTATCTTTGCTCCTATGGCATTTTATGCTTTCTTCATCAAGGTACTTTTCACAACATTGAGCAATGGCCTGTTTTGTTTTCTCTCATCCCCATGAGACAATGAGTTCCTTGAGAACAGGGACATTTGCCTTCTTCACTGGCATATCCCTAACACCTACCACAGTGGCTGGCACAGAATGTCAAAGAAATGTCTAGATCTCAATCTGACACAAGGGCACAAAAATCTCAAGGCAATATCAGGGCAGAAATAGAGGCAGAGAGGCTGGAGCGACTGGACACAAAACTGCCTTACCTCTAAGGTGTAAATTCAGCTAACACCCTCTATCACCAACTCAGCCTTAAAAGTCCTGAAGTCTTCCAAGAACGGACTAGTGATAACCAAAGGGAAGAGGTTGGGGAGGGTGGGTGGGGAGGGAGGGAAAAGGGGATTAAGGGATATTATGATTAGCACACATAATATAGGGGGGTCACAATGAAGGCAATATAGCACAGAGAAGACAAGTAGTGACTGTATAGAATTTTACTATGCTGATGGACAGTGACTGCAATGCGGTGTCGGGGGGGAGACTTGATAATATGGGTGAATGTTGTAACCACATGTTGCTCATGTGAAACCTTCATAAGATTGTATATCAATGATACCTTAATAAAAAAAAGTCCTAAAGTCTTAAAGTTGGAAACACTTACTGGGTTCTGTGGCAAGAGGCTACTACTAGTCTCTTGAGTACTGGGAGGTCGACTTCCGCTCTCCTCCAGTGGCAAAATACCCCTTCGATCCAGCACACTGAGGAGACAGGACAGTTAATAAAGTGCTTCACATTTACCCCTCCACCCACACACCACCCAGTAGAACTCTGCTGTGTGTACTGGAAAACATAGACCTGCCGTTTGGCAGTCTAGCCTTATCCTAACACACATCTCCTGTCTCCCATTCACTTTTTCTTCCACAAACCAGGGAGCACTACATTAACCAGGGAATAAATAAATGAGGAATGAAAAGTCATCCATTCAAAACAACCAGCCCATGGTCTATAGTCCATGTAGATACGGTACCAAGGGACAATCCCTGGGAAGACCTATTTAACACCAGGAGGCCACATTCTTCGAATGAATCAGAGTAGGTAAAAGAACTGGTCCCAACACTTGTCCCAAGAGTCCCAGAACTTTCTAGTCCCCTGAGTACCTGGGGGGCAAGGGGCCACACAGCACTTCACAGCAGTTCTTCACAATGTTGCCATGGCTATAGGGATTCTGGACACGATTCTTCCCTGTCCATGAGCCTTTGATCTGCAAGATAAAAGCCAAGGCTTACATGAAAAATTATGCTGAAGAAATACATGCAGCATGGGAAGATGAAAGAGTTCTGGAGATGGAAGGTAGTGATGGTTGCACAACATGAATATACTTAGTGCCACTGAATTATACACTTAAGATGGTACATTTTATGTTATATTTTTAGCATAACAGGAAAAAAAGAAATACTTGCATAGCCATGGAAAGATGTTTACAATAGAGGGAAAAATCAGGTAACCAAATAATACATATTATTTTCACTTAAAAATACAAAATGTATATTCACATAAACAAAGATGGAAACAAGTCTAGACAAGTCTAGAAGACTATAAATCATACCATTAACAATGGTGATACCTAGGAGGTAAAGTTAAAGGGCCTTATTTTCTATTTTTTGCTCACCTGTATTTTCTAATTTTCTACAACAAACATGGTTAACCGGTAACTTTTGAAAAGCAGGGATTTATTCAATGCAACCGTCTTTCTCCATTCCAAATCCAGAGGCACTAATGAGACTTTAAGGACCTATGAACAGTTGAAGACCTTGTACCCACCCAGCCATTTAACCTCTTCTTCCTAATTCTCTACAGGCATTCAGCTGCAATCTAACTGTATCCCAGCACACGCGCTCTCTTCCACACATTGGATGTAACAATCTCCCACACCAGGTTTCTGCCTGCCTTGAGCTCCCAAACCCTGGAGACTCAGTTCTCTAGCAGGTAATGAGAGAATAGGCTTTGAGGAGAACACGTGATGAGGAGAAGGGAACGTTGACTCACATCTTCATTGGTTGTCTGGTTGAGAGCCACGAGGAAAGTGTGAAATCCAGTCAGTCCCACAACGGACCAGAGTGTGAAGAAGCAAATGAGCACTTCTAGAACGGTGCGGTGACGTTAAGGAATGTTGAGTAAGCCACATCAGGGGACTCGATGCCTCAGCCCGTACTCATGGCACCAGTGACACCATCTTTACCTCTCAGAATGTGTATCACAAAGGGCCAAGTATCCATGTGGGGATCACAACAGATGAATTCTAAACTCACTGGATATATCCCTTATGAAAAGTAAAGGGCTTCTGTTTATATACTACGAGTAGCTCTCTATAAACTCTAGTGTATTTAAGTGTTTGTCTATTTATTCATCATTAGCTCTATGAAGGGGACATTTAGGAGGGGGCCAAAGCTAAACAACATTGGCTATCACTGCCAGTGGAAAATCCATAAAAAAATAAACTTCATAAATGAAAAATTGGTGGGAAAAACAGGATGTGATTTATAGAAATCCCATCTAAATCTCCCTTTCAGAAATGCAACTGCTGTACAAAGTAAGCCTTAGCTATAACAGGAAAGTGGGGCTTCTAGCCAGCAACATAAAAGGTATAGTGAAGCAAAGACAGCCCACTAAAGCAGGCAGGGCTAAGCCTGGGGTCAGAAGAACTTGGGAAGGAGGCAGTAGAGAAGGAGGTGAGGGAAAGACCTCCTTTAATCTCCAGCCATCTTCCATTCTGGTTGCTACCACTAAGACTACATGTTTTTATTTTAGACTTTGGCACTCTGATGCCTGAAAACTGAGATGGTGAAAGACGTGCAGAGAAAAAGCATGCTGGAAAGTAGTTTAAGAGTGCTTCACAGGGACATACTGCCAGGGGAGGATATGTTCCAGGAGTTTCTTTCAATGTCTCCAGGAAGCCAATTTTCAAGGATTCTGTGAAATTGGGAGGAGGAGTAAAGAGAAAAATTAGTGACTTTAGTAAAAAATGCACACTTACCCTAGTACCTAATCATACCTACTCACTTCCTTCTCTCCCTATCCCTTGTTACAAGCTGGAAAGAGATAAGCCCTCACTCAGGCAAGGGACTCTCACCTTCAATCCAGTCATCTCTTAACTAAAGGGTTCACATGTCCAATGCGGGACCCAGGAGTGGACTAGAGTCAGGCAGAAGCCAAGAATCCAGCTCCCCTCCCTTTTCCCTAGTCCCCAGCAATGGGCATGGAGGGGGGGTATTCATTCATAGATTTAAAAAATCAGAAACATTCAAGAAATATCCTCTCTCCTCACCAATCCACGTCCTTCCCTCATTCAAAGTCCAGCTGAGAATTCATCTCTTCCCAGGAAGCTGTCTTGGCCAAGACCACTCCTTCAACTTCACATCCCATCTGTCTGCACACTGATTTATGTGTGTGTGTGCACATGCATATGTATGAGTGTGTATTTTTTATCCCCCAAAGTAGACCATGAGCTACTAAAATGCATTTCTCTGGTACATCCCCTTCTACCACCTGGCATAGGGCAGGTCCTACAAGGCAGAAGAATAGAGAACACAGACAGCCAAAATGCATCCCCAATCTCTGGCATCACCTCAGCAAGGCCCAGTACTCTGGGTACAGACTAGCAGTTGTGGCCCCAGTCGCCAGCACAGGCCAGTGAGGAGGCCAACACACTCAGTGAATACCGACTGATGTGAGATGACACTGGAGCCCTGCTCAAGAGTGGGGAGTAGTGCTCATTTCTAATTAGTCCTAGAGCACCTTCGAAATGGCAAAGTTCCACCAGGAAACCTAGCCACTCCCCTAAGCTGTCCTCAAGTCTTCTTCCACTCCCGACCCTCATTCCAACAACAGACACTGCCCTGTGTACTCACTGAGGGCCACATAGACGATGTTGAAGGCGAAGACATAGATGGTGAGGAGGGAGAGAGAAAGGATGAAGAGGTAGAAGTAGCGGTAGTTCCTCTTTCCAACACAATTCCCCACCCAGGGGCAGTGATGGTCGAAGCGCTCTGTGGGAGAAAGAGAAAGTCCAGTGCCAAAAAGCCTCCAAAGCCAGCACAAGCCCCCCGCCCATGTTAAATACCTCATCCAGAGGCCCCCCCAGTTTGTTGCCTATTTCACTTGCAAAATATCACTGCTTTCTATTTTTCATTTTTTCACTGTTTTCACATCTTCTCACTTGATCCTCACAATTACCCTGGAAGTTAGGCAAAAGAAGAAATTCTTCTCCCCATTTTACATATGAGGAAACTAAGGTGCTGAGGGGTTAAGTGGTCTGCCTCGCTGCCAGTTGACAGAAGAGACTTTGCTTTTCCAAAGAAAAAATCTTAGTAGGTGGCCTAAGTTCAGGAAGAATAAGTAGGTGAAAATTGCCAAGGAAATTTTGAAAAATGAGTAGTGTAGTTTTTCTTAACCTCCAGTTATTAAAAAATTATAAAACGACCAGACTTAAAATGGTGCTGCTTAGCTCAGTGGAGTGGAAAGCACTCAGACACAGATTCTAGAATGTATAAGAATTTACTGTCTAATAAAGGTAGCATTAAAAAATTGGTGGTAAAAGGAACTATTTATTATTCCATAAACAACTCTGAGACAACTGGTTATTTGATGGAAAATAAGGTTAGGTTTTTTTCCCTCATACCATTTATCAAAATTAATTCCATATGAATTAAAGAGTTATGTGAAAAAAACAAAGTGAAACCATAAAATAACCATAAAGAATAAATGAACATTTATCCCTTGTTATGGAGGACTTCCTAAGCATAAAAGTAATAAAAGAAAACACAGATGTCAAAGAAAAATAGATTTGAACCCATAAACTTTGAAGAAACTATTTTATATATGTTGAGAATACATTAAAAATGCTAAAGAGGGAAAAAAAACAACAGGAATGTATGTAAATTTTGTACCTGAGTATATAAAAAGTCCTTACAAATGAATAACAAAATACAAATACTCCTTCAAGAAAACGGTCAAAAGACAAAAACAGACAGTTAATAAATGCCATATAAACATATATTTTAAGGTTTTCAGATTCACTAATAACTCAGTGTGATACTAGTACAAAAAGACACTTTTTTGCCTATCAAAATAAGAATATAAAAATATGCAGCACTAGTGAGAATTGGGCAATATGGACTATATACTAATATACTGTTTGTGGGGAGTATATAAATTGAGAGAACTTTTCTGGGAAGCAATTTGGCAGTATATATCAAGAGCCTTAATAATGCTCACATCCCTTTGGCAGAATAAGTCCATTTTCAGTAATTTCTCATAAGGAAAGAGAGATGTGTACAGATATTTAGGTTCAATAATTTTTTCTTAAATTTTCTATTGTGGTAAAATACATATAACATACCATTTGCCATTTTAACCATTTTAAGTGTATGATTCAGTGGCATTGATTATATTCACAGTGTTGTGCAACTATCACCACCACTACCTATTTCCAAAAATTTTCATCACCCCCAAAGAGAAACTCTGTACCCATTAAACAGTAACTCTCTATTTTCACCTTCCCCCGGCCCTTGATAACTTCTATGAATTTGCCTATTCTAAGTATTTTATATAAGTGGAATCATACAATTTATGACTTTTTGTGTTTGGCTTCTTTCATGTAGCATGTTTTCAAGGTTAATCCAAGTTGTAGCATGTATCAGCACTTCATTCCTCCTTATGGATGAATAATATTCCATTGTATGGATATACCACATTTTATTTATCCATTCATCTGTTGATAACAGTTGGATTGTTTCCATCTTTTGGCTATTGTGAACAATGCTGCCATGAATAGTGATGTACAAAAATGTTTGGGCCTCAGTTTTCAATTCTTTTTGGTATTGCTATGGACAGAATTGTGTCCCTCTCCAAACTTTGTATGTTGAAGCTCTAACCCCCAATGTGACTGTATTTGGAGACAGGGTTTCTAAGGAGGTAACTAAGGTTAAATGAGGTCATAAGGGTAGGACCCTAATCCTATTAGACTAGTACCCTTATAAGAAGAGGATGAGATACCAAGAGTGCATAAATACAGAAAAAAGACTATCTGAAGACACAGCAAGAAGGTGGCCACCTGTAAGCCCAGAGACAGGCCTCACCAGAAATAAACTCTGCCAGCACCTTGATCTTGGACTTAAAACCTCCAGAACTATGAGAAAATTAATTTCTGTTGTATAAGTCACTCAGTCCATTGTATTTTGTTATGGCAGCTGAGCAGGCTAATACAGGGTTAATACATATACACATATACCCAGGAGTGGAATTGCTGGGTCATATGATAAATTCTATGTTTTAACTTTCTGAGGACGCACCAAACTGCCACAGCAACTGCACCATTTTCTATTCCCACCAGAAATGTATGAAGGTTCCAATTTCTTTACATTCTTAAATTTTAATAATTTTGGTTGCAGTGTTACAATAATGAATTAAATGGAATAGTGAATACTATCTAATGATAGGAAACTACCTAAAAAAACTAGACTATAGCCATAAGATGGATTATGTAGTCATTAAAATAATATACTCAAAAACATTTATTAAAGATATAGGAAAATGCTCAGGATATAATGTTAAGTGACAAAGGCAAGATTAAAAACACTATCATGTGAGATCTAATTTTGCAAACAATGGAAGGAAATACAGCAAAATGGAGAGTGAGTTTGAGATTAAGGTTTATCTTACACTTTCTGTACTTCTCATATTTTCTATAATTAATATATATTATTTTAATGAATCAAAAGCACAAAGAATCAAATACATCCTTTTTAAAGAACAATGAGCTGTGTACTGATAAAAAAATTAAACTGTAAGAACTGGTCCACCTCCCGGTTAAAGCGTTACAATATATCTTTTCAGAAAAGAAAAGCAACATGTAAAGAAGAATGATATGTCCAAGTAGTTAGGGTTATATCTGGATCAAGAATTATAGGTACAGCCACACCTTAAGCAAACCTGCCATATAAAAACATGGGAAAATACAGATTTATACAGATATATTTTTACTGTATTTCAAATCACACATTTTCTGATAAGATAATAAATACATGCTCATTGTAGAAAACTTGAAAAAAGAAGAAGTAAAATGAAGGAAACAAAATCATTCATATTCCACAGCCTGTAGATAACGAACTATAAACATTCTGGTATACTTCCTTGCATATATCTTTACAAATACTTATATTTTCTTAAATGTATAATTGCAATCCCACTAGAAATGTAGCTTATTTCCTGTTTAATTCAGCTTTCTGATATGAGCTTTTCCCATAAAAGTCTATTGTATGAATGTCCCACAATCTATCCAACCACTTATCTACTGATGGGCAATTAATTTTCCAATTTTTTTAGCATTATAGTAGCCCTGAGGTAAATATTTCCATACCTATATCTTTTAGAACACCCCTGATTATTTTGGGATAGATCCCTAGAGAGGAAATCACTGGTACCAAAGGGTATGTATGTTTTAAGGCTTTAATAATTTACTAGGTTGCCTTCCAAGAAGTTTGTTCCAATTTACACTCCTACCAGTGTAGGAATAAGCATTATCAGGTTTTTCTTGCTAATTTTCTAGATTAAAAAAGATCTTTTTTAAACTTTCTCTGATTTTTAGTAGGGATGAATTTCTCTTCATGTATGTCAACTATCTAATCATATTTCCTGTTCTGTGAACTGTGTATACTTCTACTGGAACATAAGTGCTTCTTTTGTAAAAACATTAATATGTATGAATTTTATATTTAAGAATATTAATGAGCAGAGGGAATTCTATACGAAAACCTTCACATCAGACCTTCTTGAAATACCAAGTTTTCTAGCTCATTTAAATGAGTTTCAATTTCTAAAAATCTGTGCACATATAGCTTTTTACCATATAAAATAAGATATATTTTCCCAACTTGTAGGCTAATAAGAGGAAAGCAATGTACTCAGGCATGTTCCATGGCATAGATAAAGAATACTGGAACTATGCTGATAGTATAAAGAGTTGCACATATATGCCTATCAGTAGACATATTTACTGCCTGTTTCTGATCTTTCCCAGGGTCCAGCACACACTCGGTAGTGATTAAAGCTAAGCCACATATATGTAGATAGAAGCACAGACCCATGTATTACAGACACATACACCACCACACTTGCAGCACCAGCAAAGAAAGAAAAAATGAGGGTTTGGGAATCAGAACTGTTCCAGCCTCATCTCACACTAGTTATTTGAACTTTCACAAAGGTGTTTCACCTATTTCCTCAACTGTAAGATGGGATATTACCTATCTCATGTGATTCTTACAAGTTTTAAATGAGAGAAAGGGAAAGAAGCAGCACAATGCCTAGTATATAGTAGGAACCCAATAAATGCTAGCAACTTTCTTCTAAGGAACATTACTTCTAACATAGCCCTTCCTTCCCCAATGCTGCCCTCCAGTGGACTAGGGTCCTCCTCCCCCTATATTAGGTGGGTTCCACTTGAAACAGATCCAGTACAGGAAAATCTGGACTCAAAAAACAGGTAAAGCTGATTTCCCATTTATCAAAGAGGGTTTTTTAATCTTAATATAGAGAATATTTAAATTATGATTTGATCTGCAGATGTATAGTTGATTTACAGTGGTTCAGAAGCCTGTTTCCTATCTAAAGTTTCTTAACTAAATCTAGCTTGTTTACTATCTAAATCTATCTTCAACTCAGCTTTTTCTCCAGACAAAGCCCCTTTGGTTTTACTCACCCACACAGTTGTCACAGATGCTGCAATGGGAGGCCCGGGGAGGCCGGAAGATCTTGCATGTATAACAGTATTTCAGCTTCACAATCTGGTTGTTTATCTGGAAATTCTTGATACGAGGGGGTGGTCGCTGGCCTTGGGGCACCGCACCATTAGTAGCTTCTGTAGATCAGTAAAGACAGTTAACATCACTGCTAGCCATTACTGGAGCCCAAAAGTAATGGGAGTAATCAAAGATTCCTCAGGCCCACTCTCTTCTCCAGACTAGCATTTCTAGAATAGACTCTCCACATCACACAGAGTATCCCCCCAAAATCCCCGAGTGCCATGCAATTCTTTTGTGCACATGTGAAAAAGAATTTTTTTCAAACTTTCTGGCTGATTACAAAGAAAAACATTCATAAAAGAAATAAAATAGCTTAAACAAAACATGTGAAATAAAAACATCCAACTTCACAATAAGCAAAGAAGTAAAAATTAACACAAACATATAGTTCCACCTACTATATTAACAAATATTAAAAAGAATAAAAATACCCAATGTTGGCAAGGATGGGGAGAAGGCATTTTTATACAGTACCAATAGGCAATTATGGCAGTGGCTACCAAAATTTTAAGCATGTATACATTTTGACCCAGCAGTCCTACTAGGAACTTATCAAAATTACAAAGAGATGTACAGAAATGTTGACACAAGGGTATTTGTTACAGAATCCCTTTTAATGGTGAAAAACTGAACATAACCTCAGTGTCACAACAAGAGGTCGGTTAAATAAAGTATGATACATACATAGGATGGATGTTATGCAGCCATTTAAAATGATGTAGACAAGTGAAAGATGACACAGGAAAGCACACTGCAAATGAAAATGTACCCTAAAAAGCAATATATATAAAAGGATATTATCTTGAAAAAATAAAATATACACATGAAAAAAGACTGATGATACTTTGAATTAAAAAAGAACTATATGAAAATAAGTAATCCAAGCTTATTGCAAAAATTTGGAAAAAAACAAAATATAAATAAAAAATAAATATCACTGACTGGTCTCTCAACTCAGGGATATTCATATATTTTTATGTATTTCCTTCTTTGCTTTACAGATAGATCAATAAACATTCATGATTTTTTAAAACATGAGATCATAGTATAAATATAATTTTGTACCCTGTATTTTCTTACTTAACATTATACAGGGAGCATTTTTCCATGGTTGTTCATTTTTTTTCCTGAAAACATCATTATTGGCAATAAAACATTCCCTCATATACATGCACCAGAATTTTATTTAACCATTCCATAATGTTGGGCATTTGAGTTGCTTCTGGTTTTTTTTACCATTTAAATGATGCTGCATGCAAAAACTTAAAATATTGCAGATAAAGTTTAAATCGCCTTTGATCACCAACCAAATCCCAATCCCTTCCTCCCTTCCTCAAGAACATATTCATGTGTTAAAATTAATTTCTAAAACAGAAGGAAAAAAGAAAAGCATGTTGAAGTCTGAGCAGTAATATATGAAGTTGCTGGCATTAAAATAGCTAGGCCCATATTAACAAGAAAAAAATGATCCACTAAAAATCCTTCCACAGTAATTTGTGTAAATCTCTGATTATTCCCTTTAGCAAACCCTAAGAGAAACAGAATTACTGAGTTAAAGGGTAGGACCCTTAAAGCCCATAGTACTTTTTGCCAAACTGCTTCCCAGACGGAGTGTTTCAATCTGCATGACCACCCACCCACCTGCAGTATCTGAGATGCCTGTCTCATTGCAGCCTCACTATGCAGGCTAATTCTAAAAACAGAGTATGTTTTTCAATTCACTTTGATTTTTAAAATATCTGCCATATGGAACTTTTTTTCCTTTTTTTGTGGAGTGGGGTAGATGCTGTGATATCAAACAATAACAGTGGGTCACAAGTCTTAAAGAATGGGGGGATGGCTATTCATTAGAGGATAAGTACCAGAATGTCACCTTAATATTCCTTTGCATACATTTTACATGAGGGCACTTGGGAAGCCGAGTTCATGTTCATCCTCCCCATGAGGCACCATGATGCAAGGGAATCTCACACAGTCTTCTTTCCACTCCCCCAGCCCCCACCCACAGCAGACCCAGTACAGGGTGGAATGTAAATTGACAAAAACTTGCTAACACAAACATACACATGAACTCAAGAGCACACTCTTCCACTGAGAGAAACATGCTAAATGCAAAGGTCATGACATGACAGCTCAAGCCTGGGCTTCAGGCTCAGGGATCTGGCAAAACAGAGGTGACCTTGCTAACAACCTGCTGTGAGATGCAAGAGACAAGTCAAGGCAATACCTTGACCTTCGGTTTCTCCTTATGTGAATGGAAAGGAGATGATAAAAGAATACCCCAAAGGAGAAAAGATGGCACTCACATCTCTCCCTCTCTATCTTGCTCCTAAGTACCCCAGCCCTACCAGGTCTCCCCCAAATTCCAGCTGTGCCCACACATCTTGCTTCTGCTTTCCTCCCACCATTCCCACCCCCACCCCATCCCTAAGTCCCCTCAGCTCAATTAAAATCTTTCAAAAAGAAATTCACTAAGAAGCTAGAGGGAAACACAGCTAAAATAAACAAAACAAATACAAAAGCTTGGAAGCTCTCAAAGCACCCAAAAAGAATATCAAATCAACACATTGTGCACTTTAAATTCATACAGTGTTATATGTCAATTATATTTCAATAAAACTAGAGTAAAAATAATAAATTAAGTGGAAATGGGAGAAAATATTTCATTGATAATAGCATGCATATAAACATTAGGAACAAACTCAATATGAGAATAGAAACTAGAAGAAGAAAACTAAAAATTTATTAAAGGGCATAAACATCAACCTGAAAATATAGAAAGATGTACTATTTTCTTGGATAGGCAGATAATATAGTAAACATGTAAATCTCCCAAAAATAATATGTAAATACAATCTAATACCTATTAGGAACCTAAATAGGTCTGTGTATTTTTTATTAAATAAAATAATATTAAAATTCAAAAAGCAAAAAAAGGCAACACCCTAAAAGAACAAAAGGCTAACCAGACTGGTACTCCAGTGGCATAGCTTTTAGTCTTATAAATCCTGGGACCCCTTTTTCTACTTATCTGGCTTGGATGTTGACTCAAGCTACTTGGGTACCAGACTTGAGAACAGTTTAGGGCAGGCACTGCTCTTAGGTCCGATGAGCTTGCAGCCCCTGCTAGTACTGTCATCATGGCCTTCTTTCCCAGTGTGAGCTCCCAGGATATCCCCCGCTCAAGCCACCCTGGCTCCTGGGTAGTGGAGCATTTAACCTTTGTCCCAAAGAGTCCTATCCTGAGCTGCAGACTGTGCTATAATGAGCCTGTAAATGCTTCCTTTACCACTCCTAGGATTCTCAGCAGCTCCTGACACCTAGCTGTCCCCTCTCACCTTCAGTATTCCCCTAAAAGTGGGGATTCTTGGTCAGAGGCCCATGAATGTGCTTCAAAAGATCTATGAAACCCTGAAATTATATCCGAAATTGTATGTGCACACATATAAGAATATTTTTATGAAAATAAGGCTTATAGTTTTCATCAAAAAATAAAATGAGTTGATAAGCCCCCAAAAGTAAAAAAGCCCATCCTCTTGGGAACAGTGCAGCAGGGCCTTGGTAACAAATCCCTCCTAAAAGGCACTCCACAAAAAGGAAGAATGAAGCACATAACTTTCAAATCTTGCTACTCCTGCCTTACCAAATGTATAGGGTGGTCATGACCTCAGATTCAGAATCTCAGAGAGAAAAAGCTAGAAGTGATTCTGCAACTGCTATTACCACTCCATTCCCTTGCTGATTAAGCCACCCACTGTACAGTGTCTTGACAGCTGGTTAGAAAACTCACCTATCTCCATTTCTATGAAAGCTGCTTCATCTGGTAGGGCCCGAGGAATCACTCCAGGGTCACTGAAGCTGGTCCTCAACAGTGTAGCCATGGAGAAAAGGAAAAGCATGGCAGCAAACACAGGGATGGCAGGAGACAGCTGGACAGCCAGGTAGCGGCATCTGAAGAAAGCAGGCAATTGAATATTTCATTATACCTACCCTATAATGACCTCAAATTGTTACCAGTATGTCAATCTGGTCTCTACAGCAGAATCAGCGGTACCTCAAGGGCTGGCACCATACTTCTTCCTTCTCCTGAATTACTCAAAACTCCTAATTTATGGTCTGTACATAGGAGCTGACCAGATAGCTGATTGATGCCTCCTATAGCATATAGAAGATAGTCTCAAGGGCCTGCCCCTCCCTATGCATAAGCCCAGTCCCTCCTGCCAGCCTGCTGGCAGCCACTCCTCTCTGTACCTCAGGAAAGGCTCACACCTGTTAAGGTCAGGGAAGCAAATAAGCCTGAACTTGTAAGCACCCAAGGTTGCTCACTCTGGGAAGGTATAGAACTTTTCATAAACACTCATCTGGCTTTAGGCCTGAGTTCGAGAAGCAGGAAGGAAAGATGAGGGTCAGTCAGGAAGCAAGGTCCCAGCCGCAGGCAGACCATATGCCCAATGTGCTTCAAGACCAGGGAAGAGCTCCAGGGCTGCCAACTGACTTTGCCACACTATTCCTCTTCTCCCCTCCAGTACTCAGGTAGTAGGTGACCAGTGACCATAAGCAAGGGAATAAGGAAACTGTATTTCCTTAGCACCCCTTCCAACATCATGTTTGCAAACCTCTTTCTTCATCATTCACCTGGAAGGCCATTCCTCTTCCTTTCTAGATATCCCAGCTCTCCTCATCTTCCAGGTCCAGAGACATCAATGCTACCACTGTCATCACTACCATGATTTACAGAGCACTCACCATATGCCAGGCACTGCACTATGCACTTTATATGCACCATCTCATCCAATTCTCACAGTAAATCCATGAGGCAGAGTCTATTATGCCCATTTGATAAATGAAGAATCTGGAGTTTAGAGGTCTTGCCTCCTCCAAAAGGCCTAACCTAAGCTGCACTGATCTCTCCCTTCTCTACCCTGTCATCCTCACTGCCAGAGCCTTGTACTATTCACAGCTGTTTTTTACTATGTTGCCCTCATCTCCCCTAAGTGGACTTCCTAAGAGCAGGAACCTTGTCTCTCTGAAGTGGGAATGCTTGGGCTGGAATTCTGGGTCTACCAGCTTCTGGTTGGGTGACTTAGTTAACTTCAGTCTCCTCATCTGCGAGATGAGAATAATAATAGTGCTCATGGGTCATTGTGTGGATCAAATGCATGAATATTAATAAAGTCCTTAGAACTGCACTTGACACATAGTAAATGCTAAATAAATAAATGTCTGCTATTAACATCATCATGGTTCTATATCTCCCAGAGCCTAACACAAGTATGGAAACAAAGCTATCAACAAACACTTGCTGAGTTGCTCTGAATTTCAAACCAAATAAATGGAAATATGTGATGAGAGTCATCACTGACCTATTTTTATTCCCCTCCCCCGAGACACATTTACTCCTTCAACACAGAGCTCTTCTCTTAGAGGCAGACTATAAGTGGATGAGCAAGGACCACAGGGAGAGCAGAGAAAGTAAGCTAAGGAAAAAGGCTTACCTCATCGGCATGGGGATTAAACAAGCCGCTGTCCACTTGGAACAAACGGTTAACCCCAGGTTGTACATTCGCTGCGGTTTTGGAACAATCCCCAGGAGAGCCTCTCCCCACCTCCCCACCACACACACGACTGCATGGTGGGGGTGCCAACCAACTGCTACATTAGGCTGAGCAGTTTGTCATGAAGGTGAACATATGTAGTGAACTTGTAAAATGATGTTTGTCGCTTTTTGTTTGCTTGCCTGCTTGTTTGCTTTTAACAAAATTCTTGGTCTTAGCTGGCCTTTATATGACTTATTTCCTTCTCCTAAAATCCAAAGTAGGGGGAAATTTTTGGAGAACTGAAGGATCTGGCTGAGTTCAGGATAATTAAGGTCTTTGGTGATCACTAGCTTGTGGGTTACCCCTTTTTCCACTGTTCCCCTTCACTGGTACAGCTACTCAAGCAGTGAGCTCAGAAATGAAAGTCACCTCCACTTACCAGGGACCTGACGAAGGACACAGGAGAAACCCAAGGCTGCGTCTCATGAACCCACCGAATGAAATCACCACACTAACAGAATATAGCCATCTTCCTAGTCACTGCCCAGCTCTAACATAACTCTTGAAAACAAAGAAGTAATGTCTCCAGAACTCAAACTGCCCTGGGTGTACAGTGTCCAATCAAAAAGAAAAATCAGAGTCATCTGATTGGTCACCAAAGGGGCTTTAAATTGTTTTATTATAGGGAAAAGATATAGAGAGAGTAGAACAACCATACACATACACGCACACACAAAATTAATGTTGCCCCCATAATGTTGCCTGACAGAAGGACCCAAGCTTAACTAAGTCCCATTCCAACACCTGCTTGTTGACTGGACAAAGGACAACTTAGATTTGAATTACACTACACCATCTAGGATAAAGGTCTCTGTAATCTCCAAACAGACTATCTTCTGCACCTGCTAAAACAATCCACTCTGTATGTCAACAAGTACACAACAGGCCCATTGTATTGTTCTCCAGAGATGAGGCTATGGCAGCCAGTTGTCACTAGTGAGTGGGTGTGGCTGGGAAGGCAGATATGAGACCAGCAGGCCTTTCCACTCTGAGTAAGAGGGAACTGAGAGAGCCAGTGGCTAAGACTGTTGTGAACTTACAACCCATTGTGTTCTCTCTTTAATAGTTTTCATCAAAAAGATCCCCCCTAGGTTTGTCCCTTAATTGCAGTAAGTTAGAGATCAGTCTCTGACAGGAATAAGCTATGTGAAGATTTGGTAGTAATTCCCAGTATCGATGTCAAAAGTCAGAAGTATCCCCAAATACCACCAATTTATCTTAGTGAGACTGGATCTGTCATCCACAAATATAAGCTGTTTTTGAAACCCCTTAGTACTTTCCATCTATGCCACTTCTTGGAATAATGATATCTATATACTTCTTGAAACAGAACTCTCCTTTATCTTCAATGTACCAGGAAGCATTCCCCATTACAGGGGCTTAGAAGTTGCTTTTCTCCCTTGTGAATTTTATAAACGTAACCATGTCCCCACTAAGTCTTCATTTTTGCCACTTAAAGAGATGCCATAATTTTAAACCATCTTCTTGATTGGCCTCAGGCTTCCATAGCTGAGCTAGACAACTGGTCTCCCATATATTCCATGGGCCACATGGTGGTACTGACCAGCAGTAACCAGCAGTGCCAGGCTGAGCTCGTGTGTCATGGCCCATCCCCCACCCCCAGCTTGCTAGTTCACTACAAGGACAATGATAATGACACAGACTTCAATTCACATGAAAAACTCAAAAGAGATTCATGAGTGGATCTGGTAAGAAACCAGACAGATTCCAAGGCAGGGCTCTGCCTCACAGACCGACAGCATAGATTGGTGTTCTATACAATACTCTGCTTCTAAGTCTTCCTAATAGCTTCCTTGCTGTTTTCTGTTGTTGTTTTATCAGTGCAATTGATCAGCCAACAAGTATTTATGGGTCTAATGAAGAAGAAGAGAAATAGAAGTTTTGTTGGGGAAAACATAACCAACATATGAAACAGCTAAAGAATAAGATAAGATCAATAATCAAGTATAAGGATGATGATTCAGACTCTAAGGACTATAAGTGGTCAAAGAAGGACTCTCTTGGGAAGCTAGTGGCTGCTTGAAACTGCTCCCACAGCAGCCATTAAAGGTGGCTTCAAAGAAGAGCTGTGCTTGGAACAGCAGGAAGGGCTCAAGGATTAGAGCCTCATGAAGACCCTTGGTCCCACATAACAGAAATAAGCCTTTGCTCTAAGTCCTCCCTGATGTGGACAGTTGTCTGTCCTCTTACATACTACTACCTTTACAGCACATTAAACAAGGAGAACCACCCATAAAACTGGTTCAAGATTCTTCTGATGACACTCAAGAGTCTGCTGAGAGGGAAAAAGTGTCCACGGACACTAAAAACATAACTTAAAATCAACCTCCAGATTTACTGCTATGTGAAGATCAGAGGTCAAATGCATAACCCTGTTTTGCTCCAGTAGCAATGGGGAAAATTAACTAAACAGGGATATTTTCAATTCTGAGGTGTTGAGCCACCTTCTCACCAAAGAGGGACAAAAATCTCTATCCAGGCAAACCTGCAGAGTAGTTGGCAAATTTCAAATGATAACGAATGCCAAATGATAACAAACTCCACATTTCAATGATAGCAAATATAACAAGTAGCAAATTTCAGTTGTAATATACTCCTGCTCAAGAACTCAGAACAATTTTCTGTTACCTATTATAGTAAGCCCTGAATTCCACAGGCCAGTGTTACGGAGGCCCTCCATGAACTGACCCTATCTAATCATCATCATAAGGTTCTTGTTTTCTCATTGCTCCATTCCAGAAACATCCCCCTAATTACCCTGAATTCATTAGCTTCTTGCTGTTGCAAGAGGCATAAGGTGCCTCCTTTGTTCTTAAACACAATACCAGCTCTGACATCTCTGAGGAGGAAGATTTAGGAGGTCTCTTCTCTCCTTCAATGAACATCTCAACTGATGTCAGCATGCTGGAGGCGATCCCTTTTCTTTGTGTTCACTTTTCCCAGAATAAAAGATCACTATACTCAATTAAGATTAATTCTCAAAAGATGGGATATGCATTCAGTGAAGACTGACAGTGTGAAACTCATTACCACAAAAGGTAGTAGAGGCTGAAAACACACAAATTCTGAATGACAGAACCATAAAAAATTATTAAAAGAAAACACACTGTTCAGGAGACATAACCGATAACCGAACCTTTCTCCAGGGAATGTGCTTTATCAGGAAGTTTGAGCTTAGTTAAATACCATAACAAATTGATATCAAAGAGGGAACTATGCCTTTCTAAAACTGTCATTTGTCTGGCCAAGTCACAGACAGAATATTGGGTTAAATGAAGCACAAGACTGAACCTGCACAGAACAATTCTCCAGAGAATGATTCTGAGTTAGAGATCATGGTAAAATCACATTTTCCTCTCCCCAGTCTCACCTAAAGAACATCAGGAACTTGGGCCTTGTCACTAGCATGGATATTCTGCCATGACAGAGTTTGGCCTTGGCCTACACAGCCTTGTGTACCCTCAAACCTGGTAACTGTGCATTGTCAGATTGCCTTTTCTCATCCATCTGTCCACCCAGACATACGCCCCTTTCATCTGGATCACCTACGGAGTAACAAGATAGGGAGTACACATTGCTTAACTTTTCTCCAAGCTGTTCTTACCAAGGCAGTATGGACTAGATGTTGCCACAGAGGTGATGATCCCTCAAAACTCCCAAAGTTTCCTTTCTAGGTCACACTTAAAGACAGGCTTCCCTGTTCCCGCAAGGCTACCAGAATGCCATGTCAGAATGCTGTCAGTTTTCCACAAAGATCCCTTCTTTTTCTAGGAACATGAGCTAAGGAGGTCCAAATAACCTGAATGCTACTTGGTATAATCACTAGCTGGCAAGAACCCAGAATATGCTGGTCTAGCACTCAGCCCTATGCACAGCTTTAGTTATCTGAATGTCTTCAGGATGCCATATTCAAATGATAACCAAGAGATCAAAGATAGTGTCATATAGAGGCACTGGCTGGCTAACTGACCTTGATGAAATAACCTTACTTCTCTGGACCTGGTTTCCTCACCTGCAAAAGGAAAGGGATAGCTTCCAAGGACCCTTTCAGCTCTACCATTCTATGATTCTGTGAATCAAGGCTGTTACATTTTAAGTGCATCCAGAATGTATTAATTCAGCAACATTTATTGACCACTTGATGCTATGTAAAGCCTGGTGGAGGGCACTGTAGGGTGGCCATATAGACATAAGAGGTAGTCCCTGACATTGAAAGAGCTCAAAGTGTTAAAAATCATAAAAATCATAAAACAGTACAAAAAAATCATATGCTTATGTGTTAAATGAATTTTATGTACAATTGGTCCTATGAATGCAGAAATTACTGGAAAGGTTTCATGAAAGAAGACTCAAGAAAAGACTTGAAAGAGAAGTATAATTTGGGTGGGCTAGAAGTGGGACAATTACTAAGCCATGCTACGAAGTTTTTTTTTCCAGTTCATCCAATTCAGTGACTCCTCTGTACATCAAAAGCACCCATGAGGGTCAGTCCAACAAGATTTGATAGCACCTTGATATGATTCCTCAGTGCTTATGCCTCGCACTGATCATAGCAGCAAACTGCTTCTGCTTCAGCGGTCAAGAGTCAGAGTCATTCTTGCCACAAACAGAAGTCTAGAGACCTTGACCCCACTAGTGATCTGGTCACAAGGTTAAAAGAGACAGCTAAGAAGCCAATTCCAGAGACAGTGCACAATCATTCTACCGTGTCGTGACATTCCAAGCCAAGTTGGTGGCTATGTCATCACACAAGCAGGATAGGGTTTAGGCAGAAAGGACGGAAAATGGTTCATGTACTCAACGCTGAAACTGGCATACGCACTCGCATTTCCTAAATGCCTCACCCTAAGAATAAATTAGGAAATTCTTTTTTAAGCACCATACAATTTTCACTTTGCTTTTAAATTCCAATAGATACAATAACATTTAAATACATAAATTTATTTAAATACAGCTACATACTGGTAATCTTCTATCTTCTCTTTTTCTGTATGTGCATTTGATTCTTCCAGACAAATATAAGAGTTATATAGAATTTCAGATTTTCAGAGTTGCAAGAGGCTTAGTGATAATCTAGCCCAATTCCCCATGCCAGGCAGGAATCTACTGTGTGACAGCAGCCCTGAGAGATGGCCACGCAGCTTCTTTGGAAATATTTCTATCTACCCTGGATGAACAACCTTTCTTCATTTTATGTGTTCAACACTCTGTCCACTGAAAATTACAGGTCCCTCCTTTGGGAAGTCTAAATGTGCAAAGGCAAAATTCAAAAATAAAAAGATGTGCACTGGCACTACTAAGACAGCATGTTTTTCATCAAGGGGCGCCCACATGCCTGACCAGATTTCTCAAGCCATCTGGCCAACCCGGGGCTGTGCCACAGGCAGCTATAAATCAACTTGCACTTGTTTCCAAGCACCTGCTGCAAGCAGAACCCTGTTACTAAAATGCAATTCCAGATGTGCCTCAAGATGTGCCTTGACTCTCTTCCCCAAGGCAAAAACACAGCAGCCAGAGGATGTGCAGTTTATGCTCCTAGGCAATTTGAAGATGACAATAGACAGTTCCGTGTCACTGGTAGTTCAGACACCCTCACCTGCCTGAAGGCAGGGGGTCAGACCAGCTGATTTCCTGAGGTCTCCCTAAGTTCTCATACTAATAAAGGAGCCTATATTTGACCCCCTAAACCCTATCCTCCACTGTGGTGTTGGCAGTAAATTATATACTCCAAAGACAAAGGTCGACCAGAAAGAGACTTCATTCCTTTGAGGCATGCTAGTGTCCTTTGCATGGCCTGTCATTGGCTAGGCACAAGGCAGCCACCACGTAGAATGTCTGGGTGTCTATAGAGTATATGACACACACACACACACACTTTCACAAACACGGATTCCACCACTGTAAGTAGTACAAAGGATTAATTGTCAGGGTCCTCTCCCCTTTGATCAAATTTATGCTTCCCAATCCCATTCCTCAGCTAACACATTCACTTTCTTTTCCCTTGCTCCTCTCCCTTCTCCCTCCCTGAGCCCTAGCCTCAAAAATATTTACTCTATCACACAGACAGCTGGAACTCAGAACAGTTTACAAACACCCTCATCTTTCATATCTGAGGGCAAAGCGTAAGAAATAACTCGGGGGAAAAAGTCATCTTGGTAGAAAACTCAGCCTGACTCTGCCAGAAGTAACTTGGCTAATTATAAGCTTCACCTTACAGGCACTTTTCTTCAGAGGCCTTCAGAGCCCAAGGAGGGCAGATCCAAATCAGACTCTGTCTGGCTCCCAGATACAAAAAGGGCCCAATGCCAATAACTCCAAATTTCAAGTTCCCCTGGCCAGTCAAGCCAGAGGTTTCCTGGGCCCAGAATTACCAGCTCACTCAGGGCCTGGAAACAAATCTCATTTCTGTTTTGAATGGTTCCAACCACAAAAATTTAACTCCAAGGAGGGGGTGGGGAGTGGGGCAGTGGCAGAAAGAGCTATGATTCAGCAGGGGAAAGAATGAAAGAGGGAGAATGATAGACAGCAGAGTTCAGCTCTGCACTTCCCAAAAAGAAGCAAGGCAGAAATAGAGCAAAGAAAACCTGAAGAGAGGGGAGAAAAAAACTGCATGTTGTGCATATTCTTGCCTGACTTCACATGTGCACTTGTATTACACATAGGTACAATACACACACATGCTCAGCCAAGAAACTCACACTGGAAAGCAGCTAAGAAGCCATCATCAACCTGCCTGACTTTGCAAAATACTTAACCAAGTTGGAGGCTGCAGCAGCAACAAAAGTGTCTTGGACAAAGATTTACTCTGACCTTACTTTCTTAGCCCTGTTGTAAACTGTGTCCCTCTCCTCCCCTGCTGTTACTCAAGCCAGCAGCAACCATCAAAGAGTCTGGCAAAGAAGCCTGAAAAATCACTCTTGATGCACTGGGAAAGCCTGAAGCTCTTACAGGAGAAGGACAAAAATGGGCCCCAAGAGACCAGGGCTCATTTTAATTACTCACAAAGGCTGGCCAAGGAGCCCCATCCTCCCTCCCCTGGCCACACCCCAGCATGGGAGCTCCATTTCCAGGTCATCTATGTACATGAACTATAGCAGGCTCGTATCAGGTGTGGTTCGAAGTCTACACACACACCTCTCAGCTCTCAAGGCCCTCCTCATAATAATCCCAAACCAATTAGCATTGCTCCCATCCCTAGAGTGCACAACATTCTCAAAACAGCCCGTGGTCATGCCATCGTACCCTGGAATCCAACTGGCCACCTCCCTGGAATGGTGACCTACACAGGTACTTCACACAGTGGCTCTCATACTAGCTCTTATTACATCACAGAAAAAATAATTCCAAGGCTGGTATCAGGCATACGCAGAATAGAGTTGTTCATGTTGAGCGATTTTGAGTGCAAGAAAGAGCAACACATTTAATACCACATACGTGCCATGCACGCAGCTAATTTGTGGCACAGCTGAGGCTGGAACCAATCTGCAGGTTTCCAATTCAACTAGCTTTTCAATATAACAGCTAGCTGAGAGCTGTTAAATAGGACCCAGAATGGCAGAAGAGGGAAGCATTGTGGGGTGTAGTTATGACCAGGAGAGGTACCTCTAGAGGGGTACCCGGAGTGGGAGGGGTAGGGAAGGGGCAGTCTGTCACTAAGCACCTAAGGAGACCACTGAAAAGGGGAGGTGACTCCCTTATTTCCTAATTGTGCCAGGGACAGCCCCAAATCAGTACTACAAAATTGGTGTCAAAGGTCTTGGTCTTTTCAGGAAACATGTACTTTGCTGTAAACACAAAGCAATGAATTCAGTTGACATGATCTATAGTCACTGCTCAAGAGGACAGTGACAGCCATCCAAGGACCATCTACAAACTCCCCAGAAAGAAGGTTCTTCCCTTGGACCCAGAGTAACCATAATCAGGCAAGTCTATGTAATGGAAACTCACTCAAAGGCGAAGAAGAGTGTACACGTTCCCAGGATAAGGAAGAGGGTCAAATAGAAGATGCCCTTTTGCCGGGCCATCATGACTCGGCCATCACAGCAGAAGGTGTTCCTGCCTGGGAGTTTCTCCCATTTCCGTGTCACCTTCTTTCTCACCACCATCACAGACATGATTGGAACTCCTGGTCCAAAATGGGCTCTCTGATTACAAGAGGGAAGGAAGAGAAGCTGAGCCCAGCTTTGAAGTCACGTTGCCTGCTATTGCTGCTGCTGGGTCAAACATCATCAAAAGTCCAATTTCTAGCCCTAAGGAAAAGCACAAAAAGAAAAAAATGAGGCAGGAACAAGAAATGCAATTCAATCCTCCTTTCCCAGAGGCAGAAAGATGAGCACTGCCTGAAGGGGGTGGGGGGAGTGGGAAAAGTTTATTTCCAATCTGTGTTTGTCCTCTAAAAGAAGAAATGGTTAAAGTTTCTCAGAAAAAGAAGGGGGATAGTATATCTTCCTAAATAAACTCTAATGCTTCTAATATAATACTGATGATGTGACCATCAAAAAACCTTGGAACTAGAAGGGATTTTATAGGTGACAGCCTCAATTACTTTCCTTTGGAAATGAGTAAAGCAAAGACCAGAGAGAAGAAATAACTTATTCAGGGTCACAAAGGCACAAAGCTAAGCCAAGAAAACATATCTGCTGACTTTCAGTCCAGGGGCACTTTCCATCATTGTTCTACAATTATCATTATCGAGGACTCTAAAAATGCTAGAATTTCTGTCCTTAAGGAGCCATTCTCTCCCCTTCTCCCTTTCTTCACCTTCCTTCTTCAATTAGCGACTCAAATATGAATCACACCAGAGAACAATCACCCTCTGGCAGGGTTATGAGGTTGTGGACACTCTGTACACATATCCAGGTTGTATTTACTCAAAACAGATTTCCCCTAATCAAACCCACAGTAACTTCCTGAGTCCAGGAAATGAACCAATCTTGCTGGTCTAGCCTAACATTTGTGGGAATCTTAATAAAACCACAGCACAGACCTGTGTGTGAAAGGTTGACTTAATAAGCAAGAGAGATTCTGGAATGGTTGGGGGCCAGGAGGAGATTGCAGCAGTTAAGAAAAGTCATAAAGGTGCTTTCTGGGACAAATCATCTACTTGGCATCCTGAATCCCCAGGCCCAGCCTCTCTCAGCCATTAACACCCTTCTCTGTCGCTCAGGTGTGGTGCTGTGGCCTCTATTTACTGACACCACATGCCCCACACTGGCACGAATGAGGCGGAAGCCTGCAGGCAGCCTGACTGATGAGAAACAACCAACTCAAAATCATTCCCGGACTGGAGAGGGCAAGGGACCAAATAGACACTAGGAGATGAGCAGGGAAATGAGAAGGTGGAAGGCTTGGCAAAGGGGAGGGGGCACCAGAGGTGAAGAGAACACTTCCTTTGTGTAAAACTAACCTGGAAAACCATCTCCTCCTGACAGACCGGCCCTGCGGGAGAAGGGAGACCAGGAAGGGGAGCCGGGCCTGGGAGAACAAAGATCAAAATCCGTTGGGAACCAGCGACCGACCCACCAGCTGGGAGCCCCAGGCCCCAGTTGAGGGCCGCGCGCAGTGCGCGGCCTCAGGAGGCCAACCCAGCCTCCGCCACGCAGTGGACCACCGCCCCAGGCAGGTTGGGACGCGCGCCACCTCCACACGCTCGTACACACACACACACACACACACACACACACACACACGCCCCGCCACGTGTAGTCACCCTCCGCCAGGGGCTCGGCGGCTGCCCAGCAGCAAAGGGCAATGCCAACGTCCGCGCGTACCGGCGAAGCAGTGGGGTTGGCAGCCCACCATGCGGCTGAGCCCAGGAGACCCCCCCACCCCCACCCCCACCCCTTGTTACCTGAACCCGGGAGACAGAACTCGGCCGGGAACTGAGGGCAGGAAGTGGACTGTCCCAGGGAACCACGTCAGCCGCCAGAAGTGGCAGCGACTTCTCCCCAGCCCGGAGGCTGCCTCCTCCTGACAAGGGGCCCCACTGGTCCGGGCCCTGAACCAGCTGTGGCTACCGCCCACCGCTGGCCAAATGGAACGCTCCTCACGTCACCAGGTCGTTCCAGTGGTTGCTCGTCCCCCATTGGCTAATCGGCTCGGCGCTTCCGCCCCTGCCATTCTTGCCCCTAACTACCATTGGCTACCCCAACGCCACTCGACGATGCCTCCGCCCCACTCCCCCACCCATCTCCCGGCTTCATGCCCACCTGCCAAGCCGCTGCCAGCCTCCCTTTGGGGTCCGAACGCCAATTTGCGAAGTGCCGCCTCCTACTGATACAGTTACGCGGAGACTGAAGTGAAGGGTTATGCCGATGGGTCAAGGAGGGACGAGGGACCAGCCGCACCCAGCACACACGGTGAGACGCTGAAGCAACACTGGCTCACAGATCCGGGTGCTCACCCCAAACTAGGTCCGCCCTTGGCCTCTCCAGCCCTACTTGCATGAAATCAACTGCGACTCAGGATTTTACTTTTTATCTGCACAAAAACAAGTCTCCTGCCTCCCGTGTCCCATTCACTAGTTAGGGACCCCACCTCTGTCCCAGTCACCCTGGTCTGCACCTCTACCACTTTCAGAACAAAACAAACAAGCATAAAGAGGAACTTGAAAGAACACATAATGAGTTCCCCAAGAACACATAATCATTTTGCAGTACTGTAAACAAATAATTGACAGTGATGATGTTAGGAAAACTGATGACAGGACATAAATTCTTTCAGGTAGTCAATGAGTAAAGATTGCCAGAAAGGTTGTAAAAACTTAATGCTAGCTTTAGAAAGCTTATAATTGGCGTGGGGGGCGCGGGGGCTGAGATCCAAGCAGAATCTCCACCCCCAAGTACACCGGTTCTTTCCTTCTGCTACCCCCCTCTGCAGTTGCTGCCACAACAAGCCACTGCTACTGATTCCAGTGAGTTTCACCCTGAAGTTCAAGATTGGAGTGGGGAAAACAGTTGAGAACCAGGGCATTAACATTATGTGGCTGGCTTTAAAAGGCACTAAATCTGTTCCCACTAGTATGACTCTTGGCTTCCAAATATAAGGAGAAATAGGAGAAAGGGCTGAAAGTGGCCTCTCCTTACCTGTCACACAGCTGGGGAGAGTGCCTAGATTGCCAGCTATCTTTCAGAGCTTCAATAGTGGCCCTAGGGTCAGGATATTTGCAATTAATACAGAAGAGACTGCCAAAGCCCTTCCCCAGGCAGTTTTTTATGTTAACAAGGCAGTTTTTGAAGGACCAAGTGCATGGTCAAGAACTATTTCTCCTTTACAGTGTTTAGGTCCCACATGATATGAAGCAAAAAAACTACCTAACGCTAATTATATTTGACACTTTCATGACACCCTTCAATCAAAAATTTAAGGAGATTTTTAAAATCTCTAGGTAATTCTCTTATGAGAGCAATGTGTTATAATTAATTTTAGGGGAAAGTGTGTCTTTATAAAGCTTCTGTTGTTCCCCAGCACTCATACTGATTATAATCATTGGTTTATTCCTCATAAATTATATAATCAGTATCATTGTCTCCAGTTCTCCCCTTTGAATCTTGAAGGGTGCTGGTATTGCACATGCTTGGTTTGGAAGGGAGAGGAACTTCCCTCAGCACCATCAGACCCTTGGATTCCCAATCCTGTGTACACCAGATGCCCTTAGGAATAGCGTGGTCACACCAGCTGCCATCCTCCTGACTGTGGAGCAGTCAAAAACAAACCTCAGCACCCAAGCATACTTTGTGCATATCTCAGGTGCAGGCGAAGCCCAGGGAATCCTGGAATCAATGTGTCATGGCAACACATTCCTAAGCTCTGCCTCTCCCTGCTCTGCGTGACATTCTCTTTGGGATTAAGTGGCTGTGTAAGTCAGGCTTGTTTTTTTAATTTTATTTTTTATTTTTTATTAAGGTATCATTGATATATACTCTTATGACAGTTTCACATGAAAAGCATTGTGGTTACTACATTCACCCATATTATCAAGTTCCCCCCACACCCCACTGCAGTCACTGCTCATCAGTGTAGTAAGATGTAGGTCAGGCTTGTTTTATTGCAATATGTTATATATGTGTTCACTGATAAGAGAAAAATAAGAAAAACTTATATGAACAAACATTCCATAGCACTTACTTCTATGTAATTACATCATTTTATGTAATCCTGAAAATCTTAATACACACACACAACTGAATTGTGACTACAAAGTGACATTAGTTTTTTTCTCTTTCTCTTTTCAACAAACCTCGGAGACTTTGTGCATCCACATCAGTGCTGGCTCCTTTGAAGGGGAGTCACAGGCATATGGAGAGCACTAGAAACACCGGGGAAGAAAGGTATAGGCTTCCATTGTGAGGTGACATACATTCTGGTGTACTTGTTAAAAATACCTGTCTCCATATATATGATTCCTGCGTGAGTGTGTGTGTGTGTGTGTGGGCATGTAGGGGCAAAGTGCAGTTTGAATGGCCTCAGGTCCTCAGTGCCACCACTAGGTTGCAGCTCACCTGCTAGTGTTGCTCCAGATATCCCTTCTGCAAACACTCAGCTACCCATTCAGTACTGCGTGCAAGACTAGACTCAAAATATCAGCCCCTATCCTGCATTCAAGCTCACAATTATCTTTCTTTTCTCTAATTACTCGAGCCTCAACCTTCCCATGTCCCCTTGCCCTCCTTCCTACACACATGTTGCTTCCCACCCCCACCTGCCTGCATGCCTTTCCCTACTTTCTGGCTATAAATAAATATATATTTGTAGAATGAATTAATGAGGAAAAGAAAGAACTGCAGGACACCCTGCCTACATATGACCAACTAGTATTCTTAAGCAACAGCTGTTTCCCTGAGGCCTGGGCTGTTATCACTGACATAGAAGAGGCAGGATAGTATGCATAGTTGAAAGCACAAAGCTTTCTGACCAGAGAGACCTAGGTTTAAATACCGACTTTGCTGCATAGCAGCATGTGTAAACTTTGGCTAGTAATTTATCCTTTCTGAGCCATTTCCTCATCTGTAGAATAGAACTAATACCTACTTCATAAAGTTGTAAAGGGAATTAGAGATAATGTACACCAAATGTCTGGCATGTAAGAGAAACTCAATCAGCATTGTATGTTATGATGGCATCTGTATGTAACTGCCCTCTCCTTCCTCCCTCTTTTGTCCCCCACTGCCGACCGGGTAAAGAGGCATGAAGAAGGAAACCCATTCTTTGTCGAACTCGTGTCATCCATGTGCCACCATGTTTTCATGACCTCTAAATTCATCACTGAAGTTAATCCTTACCTGACTAACCACTTGGTTTCCCAATCCCAGAGATACCTCATTTCCTGATTGGGCAAAGCTTGAGCTGTAATCTTTTTTGGGTCAAATGGCTATTCTCTAGTACCATCATCTCAAGTGAAACCTCAACATTACTGCCACATTATCTGCTTCAACAGGGGGGAGATCAATGGAGTCTTTCATTACATACCTCCTCTGCTCACAGAACTGTGCTGGGATTGTTGGCTCATGTCAGAGACTAAAAATCACTTTATAATGCCACTGTGTGAAGGCCAAACATACAGAAATTGCAATAAAACTGCCTGGAATGGGAGGGAAGGTGATACCAGAATACAACTGAACAGCTCAAAGTAAGCCTCTGTTTCTGCCTCTGACACCTGTCTGCTCCTCCTGGTTCTTAATTTTGTTTTGTCTCTAGACTGTGGATTTCTGACTCCACTGTAAGTGATTTTAGGTGCTGTGCTTGAGTCCTCAGCACCTTCTCTCTAAACAAGCATAAAAACATCAATAGAGACCATATATTGAGGACCTCCTCTGAGCCAGGGATTGTGCTAGGTGCTTTATATAAGTTAGGTTCTTAGATGGTCTAAACTTGATGTCCAAGACAGAGCATCTGTTGCTGACCGAGCTTAGCCCTAGTCTCTGACTCTGCCCAGCCCTCTCATTCCAAAAGCTGACCTCAAGGAATTTTGTAGCCCCAAAATAGAAACTGGTTTATCAGTCAATCATTAAGTACATATTGAGCACCCACAGTTTGCCCAGCCTGTGCTAGGCACTATGGGAAATACCAAAGAAGCATATGACATGATCCCAGTCTCTAAGGAACTTAAAATATTCTAAAGGAGAAAAGGCCAGCTCATGTGAAGTCATTAAAGATAAATTAAAAAATAGTGCCAAGTCCATTTCTCACCTCTGTGCATGAGTCTCCAACCTTTCAATAAAAACTTGCTTTAAAAGGTGTACCCTCTCAAATACTGTTGGTAAAAGAATACATTGGTAAAATCTTTCAGTAGGGCCATTTAATAGTATCTCTTAATGCTTTTACAGTACATAACCATTAACCCAACAGTTTTACTTCTATCAAGAAATACTAGTACAAATGTTCAAAGTACATGTTCAAAGATGTTCACTATAAAATTGCTTGGAGTTACAAAAGTTAGCAAAGTTGTTTAATCATTGCACATATGCATAGTAGAGTGCTATGCAGCTATTAAGAATAATGAGACACAGCATATATACAGAAAATAACAGACCCTCACTCTTCTGTATGTGTATCTATTTCACTAAAAATTTCACATTAAAAATTTGAGTATTATGTGCTGGCATGCAAGTATGCCTGATACATATTTCATTTAAAAACTAAGTATCTAAACATTTATAAAATCCAACTTCTAGAAAATAAAATAACTAATTTTGGAAGGATACTTACCAAACAGTGGTTACCTCTTGGGAGTGAGGTGAAACAAACTTTAAAGTTTTGCTTTATATACTTCTTTGATGTCTGAATTAGTTACAAGGAACATTATTAATTTTAGGACTTAAAAAAATAAAGATTTAAAAATTATTATAAGGTTCTATATACCTCTTGTTCAGTGTGGCCATATGCTTTTATCTCTTCTCTCTCCTAATACACAATGAGAATTCCAGTAAAGGGATTAAAAAGGTATAAGCCCACAACAAAGAAAAGAAGAGGGACATCAGGTGACAATATATTTCACAAATGCATAGAAGATAGAAATGGGAGAGAAGGGTGTTGACTGAGCAAA